TCCAATGGCCGCTGCGGCCGGCGCGCTGCGTCTGGCGCATTGCGCTGATCCGAAGCCAGGAGCCAGGTGCTTCTCCTGGTCTCCCATGGGGTGCAGGGCCCAAGCACTTGGGCCATCCTCCACTGCACTCCCAGGCCATAGCAGAGAGTTGGCCTGGAAGAGGGGCAACCGGGACAGAATCCGGTGCCCCGACTGGGACTAGAACCTGGTGTGCCGGCGCCGCAAGGCGGAGGATTAGCCTATTGAGCCACGGCGCCGGCCCAAGAAATGGTTTTTAAAAAGCAACATACAAACCATTCTCCTTAGCTCTTGTACTGGACAGAAGCAGCCCATGGGGCGAAGCTGGCAAAGGGCAGCCATTGGCCAATGCTGTTCTTGGGGGTTCACATCCTCACTAGCACATGCTACGGTAGGGCTTTCAAAATAACGTGGACTAGCGTCTCCCGTCATTTCTGTTTGGATCCTCTCACTCCTGCTGAGCTGTGTGTGGGTCATTCAAGTCTTCTGTGAATTAGATGTTCACATCATCTGCCCACTTTTCTTTCTGGTTGGCCAATGTTATGGTTGGAATACGATTTGGCTTTCAAACTCATGCGGGCATTTAAATGCCAAAGTCATAACTACGAGATGGAAGCCAAATCCAGTTATGGTGTTGATACAGTGCCTTTGCCCTGGTTGAATCCTGATGGCTTTGCAAGGAGAGAGACGCACACACACACTGTCTCTTGCCACATGATGCCCTGGTGCCACCTCCAGACTGTAACAGCAAAAACACCTGCCAAGCCCACCTGAGCATGGACCATGAACCTCTGAAACTGTGAGCCGAATAAGCCACAGGATCAGTCATTTCTTCAGAAGGTGATATCAGGAAGCCCAGGTAGGGGAGTGGGGAAGTGAGACAGGGCAAGAGGAAGCCAATAGCAGGTGTAGTGGTGAGCTGGTCACCGCGAGGTGACTGGGCTCACCCCACTGAGCAGCAAGGAAGCCAGCGTGTTTACCCACCAACTCCGTTCTTCTCTGCCTCTCAAAGAAATAAATATGAAATATGTTTTTAAAAAAGTCGATCTTGAATTTGACAATACTGTCAACTCTCCTACTAGCCCTAAGAATTTCTCTGTATATTCTCTTGGGTTTCCTATGTAAACCATAATATTATCCATAGATACAGGTAGTTTTCCTTTCTAATTCTTAAATTTCCTTGGCTTTCTTTCTTCCATTATAGCCAGAATCATAGCTTGTTGGGGTTGAGCAGCCTGGGACCTGACAAAACAATACCTTCCTAGGTTTTATCCTAATATTGCCTGAGGCCTTCGTGTGACATTGAGTAGACAGTGACAGGAGGCACCCTGGTCTACATCTTGACTCGGATGGACCTTGTGTCTAAATTTGTCCCATTTACTATGATAATGGCTGCAGGTTTATAAGGTTAATGCTAATACTGTGCATTGGATAACTATTCGATTTATCAAGATAGGATATTACATTAGTGAATTAGCTGACACTGACTCATCCTTGCGCTGTGGAATCAAACCTACTTTGCCATGACGCACGAGTTTTTTGTGGGTACACTGCTGTGTCTGACATGGTATTATTTTATTCATAATTTTGTAGTGCATGCTCATGATAGCTAATGTTCATTAAGTCTTCTGTGTTCTGAACACTGCTAAGCTGCTTTTCATGAGTTTCTTCATTCCATCCTGGAAGGTTTATTGTGAAGGGACTCTTCCCCTTTCAGAAAGAAGGGAATTGGGGCATGAAGACGCAAATCAGTTCCCTGCAATCACAGACAAGATGCACATACCGCGGCTGGCACCAGATGGCAAGTCCCGATCTCACCTGGCTCCCGAGATTGTGCACATCAACTACAGCCCCAGTCACCTCCCTCTGCTTGGATCTTTCTTTTTTTTAAATATCCTCATTTGTCTGATACCAAATTACACTATCCTCAATAATTAATTGGGTAGCTTTTTCTCTTTATTGTATAAAATATGTCAGGCTCCATAAAAACTCATTTCATCTGGAGTAAATCTCATCTTATTGACTATCTTTTGATCTGAGAGGCAGAGAGAGAGAGAGGTCACCCATCCACTGGTTCACTGCCTACAATTGCCAGGAGTGGGCCAGGGCTGAAGCTGGGAGCTGGGAGCTCATCCAAGTCTCCTACTTGAACAGCAGAGATCCGATTGCTTGGGCCATTACCGCTGCCTGCTAGGGTCTGCATTAGCAAGAAGATGGAGTTGGGTGCTGGAGCCAGGACTCGAACCCAGGCCCGCCAATGTGGGACACTGATGTTGTAACTGGAATCTTAAGGCCATCCTGGCTCTGTTTCTTAGCCTTCAATCGCCTCATATGTTTTCAGATCTCAGTTTGTAGGCTCATTTTGCTTTTTGCAAAATCTCAAATTTACAGAAAAATTTCAAGTGCCGTACCAAGAATTTTCCTCCTCCGTCATTTGGAAATACATTTGCAACACCATGTGACCCCATCACCCCTGAGTATTTTAGTAGACTTTAGCTGCAAACCAAGGTACGCTCCTGTATTGGGCTTTTGAAGACAGCCAATTACATCACCAAGCATCTCTGTATCTGGGGTAGCCCAGTGTATCCTCACAGCTAGATTCAAGCCATACACCTTAGGCAGGAATGTCACAGGGGGACCTGTGTCCTTTGCCTTGCATCCTATAGGTGGTGCACTATTTTGATTTGCTCCCTTTCTAGTGAATGTTAATTTCTGTAACTTTGTTAAGGTGTTATATTGCTTTCTATAACAAATTACCAGAAACATAGTAGCTTCAAACTAATTGGGGCCAGCGCTGTGCTGTAGCAGGTAAAGCTGCCGCCTGCAGCACAGAATCCCATATGAGTGCTGGTTCAAGTCCCGGCTGCTCCACTTCTGATCCAGCTCTCTGCTAATGCACCTGGGAAAGCAGTGGAAGATGGACCAAATGCTTGGGCCCCTGTGTCCACATGGGAGACCTGGAAGGAGCTCCTGGCTTTGGATCAGCCCAGCTCTGGCTGTTGTGACTGTTTCGGGAGTGAGCCAGAAGATGAAAGATCTTGCTCTTCCCCCCACCAGCCCCCCGTGACTCTGCCTTTCAAAAAAATAAATATTTTTGAAAATTACTTTTTTTTAAATTTTTTTGACAGGCAGAGTGGACAGTGAGAGAGAGACAGAGAAAGGTCTTCCTTTGCCGTTGGTTCACCCTCCAATGGCCGCCGCGGCCGGCGCGCTGCGGCCGGCACACCGCGCTGATCCGATGGCAGGAGCCAGGAGCCAGGTGCTTCTCCTGGTCTCCCATGGGGTGCAGGGCCCAAGCACTTGGATCATCCTCCACTGCACTCTCCGGCCACAGCAGAGAGCTGGCCTGGAAGAGGGGCAACCGGGACAGAATCCGGCGCCCCAACCGGGACTAGAATCCGGTGTGCCGGCGCTGCTAGGCAGAGGATTAGCCTAGTGAGCCGCGGCGCCGGCCGAAAATTACTTTTTTTTTCTTTGTCTCTAACCTGAAGGTCAAAAGTCCAAGGTCAGCCTTGTGGAGCTGAAAGCAAGGTGTCAGCAGGGCTGGTCTCTTTGGGAGGTTCCAGGAAATATCCCACTCCTTGTCTCTTCCGGCTTCTAGAGGCTGCCTTGGCTTTCCTAGGCTCACAGCGGCATCGCCCCAATCCCTGTCCCCATCTCTCTGTCTCACTGCCCCACTCTGACCCTCTCTGTCCTTGTCACTGGGACCCTGCGACCACACGGGGCCCACCTAGATGGTCTGGGATAATCTTCCCATCCAAGGCTCCTTAGCATCATCGCACCTGCAAAAGTCCCCTGGCCATTTGCTCACAAGGTCACAGTCACCGGTTCTGGGCTTCAGGACCTGTGCGTGCGTGTGTGTGTGTGTGTGTGTGTGTCTCATCAGGCTTGCCCTCTATCTTCTTCCGTGTAGACTCCCAGGGTCTATTTAACTCGAGGAGTTACAATTCATCACTGTCAGGACTGATCTCGAAGCTCAACCCATCCCACACATGGTCCCCAAGCTAAGGTGGCTTCGGTGTCCTGTCACACTCTGTGCACTGCCCTTATGTCTGGCACAGCGGTAGGCTGTTCTGAGACGCTGTGACCGTCTCTTCCTCCCCTCCCGTATTGGTCAGCTCGGCTCTTACGGCCGGGCAGGTGCCCCAGGTTCTGCGGCTTTCTCAGGCTCCCACGCTGGGGTGCACAGGGGAGCAGATGCACCCCACACAGCCAGGGCAGCAGAGCCGCCTCCCTCCCACCCAGCCCTGGGCCAGGATCAGGTGCACTCAAGCTCCCAGCTTCCAGCTCGGGGACTTCCAAAGCCCAGCGGCCCCGATCAGCGAGCGTTTCTCGGCTGCATTTGATGACCTTACTTCTCAGCCCTGGCCACAGTCTTTTTGATTTACGTTGTCTATCAAGCCTGTTCCTGCAGGTCTGGAGGAGCGGATGCGCCCATCCCGAAGGGAAAGCGAGCTCCGTTTCACCGCTGTTTTGTTTTTGAACATCATATGTGAGAATGTCAGATTACAGCCAGAAGAGTCTGGGGACCAACCCCAGGAAGCCACACTGACAGGACCAGAGAGGGGTGCAGAGCGTCTTTTAAGGGGTTCTCCTGGGTCCCCCCCCCCAGCCCCTGTCCTTCCTGCGCCACCTTGCAGGGTTCAGGGGGCGGGAAGCTGCCTGGGGCCCTTGGGTCCCTGATGGAGGGGCCAGTCCTGGCCAGGTTCGGCTCTGTCCTCTGTCCCGCGATGCCCACTGCCCCGGGCCTGCAGCACTGAGCGTGGCGCCCCTGGGCCGCCTGCCCACCCTGGCCCCAGGATGCCTGTTCCAGCCCCCTAACTAGGCAAGGGGTCCTGGGAGACTCCACCCTTCCCGAGTGCCACACCCTCGTGGGCGGTACCTGAGCGCCTGGCCACGCCCAGGCCGGCCCTGGGCGCCCCCGGGTCGCCCCGCCCATCCCCCAAGGGGCGGGGCTCCCAGCGGCCGTCCCTGCGGGGCCCTCCGCGGGGTCCTAGCGCCAGCTCTTCGCCGCTGCCGCCGCCACGCCGCTCGCCCTCCGGGACCCGGGCGAGCGCCACTCGCCGGCTGGCGGCTTAGGGCGCGCGATACCCGACGGCTGAGCTGGCGGCGGCTGCCATGAGGAGCGTGCACCCCCTGCTCCTCTTCTCCTCCCTGCTCGCCCTCTGCGGGCGCGGTGAGTGCTTCTGGGGGCGTCTGCGCCGGGCGGAGCGGGCAGATCCGGCCGTAGGTTGGGGGAGAGAGGGCCGCACCCGGGGGAGTGGCCCGAGGTGGTCCCAGCCAGAGGGGGCGTGGGCGGGGCCGAGGCCGCGAGGGCGGGCCGAGGGGGGGTGGGTCTGCGAGGTGCGGGGTGGGGGCCACCCTCGGGTCTCGGCCGAGCTCAGCGCTCGAGGTGGCTGGGGGCACCGACCCCGCCCAGGCCCTCCCGTCGGCTGCCCAAAGCCCTTCCCGGGCGGAGCGCGACGAGGTCGACCCCTGCGAGCGAAGCCGCTGCTCCGGGGTGAAGGGTGAGCTCCCGGGTCCGCCGAGGGCGCCAGGCGACCACCGGGACCTCCCAGCTCGCCAGCCCCGAGTGCACATTGGAGGGCGCACCTCCCCGGACGGCGTTGCCACCAGCCCTGGGGGGACAGCCTGGGCTGCGCGCTTGGCTGAGGCCGGGCTGGGGAGGTGGCACCTGGAAGGCGGATCCCAGACCTGGAGCAGAGTCCAGGTGTGGTGGGGCTGGCGTTCTCTGGGCCTCAGTTTCCCCATTTGTTCTACAGCGATGCTAGATCTCTGTACCTGGCGACTCAGGTGTCCGTGTGGTCCCTACAGTGTTTCTTAAGCATGGCCCTGGGGGAGACAGCCGGCGTCACCCCGTGCCGGATTCCTGAACCCCACGGTGAGCTCCCGGGGTTGGAATTTCAGGAGGTGCAGCCTGGGAGTCTGCGTGTGGCTGGAGAGGCCCTGATGGTGTCAGGTGAGCTCTGTGTTAGCGATGAAAGCTCACCTTTTTTTTTTTTTTAATTTTTAAAATTTTTAGAACAGGCAGAGTGGACAGTGAGAGAGAGAGAGACAGACAGAAAGGTCTTCCTTTGCCGTTGGTTCACCCTCCAAAGGCCACTGCGGCCGGCGCACCGTGCTGATCTGAAGCCAGGAGACAAGTTCTTCTCCTGGTCTCCCATGGGGTGCAGGGCCCAAGGACTTGGGCCATCCTCCACTGCGCTCCCGGGCCATAGCAGAGAGCTGGCCTGGAAGAGGGGCAACCGGGACAGAATCCAGCATCCCAACCAGGACTAGAACCTGGGGTGCCAGCGCCACAGGCAAAGGATTAGCCTATTGAGCTGCGGCGCCGGCCATCTTTTTTTTTTAAATTATTTTAAGATTTTATTTATTTGAGAGGTTGAGTTACAGAGAGGGGGAGAGACAGAGAAAAAGGTCTTCCATCCAATGGTTCACTCCCCAGTTGGCCACAACGGCCGGAGCTGAGCTGATCCAAAGCCTCCCACGCGGGTGCAGGGGCCCAAAGATTTGGGCCATCTACTACTGCTTTCCCAGGCCATAGGAGGGAGCTGGATCAGAAGTGCAGCAGCTGGGACTCGAACCAGTGTCCATGTGGGGTCCCTGTGCCACAGGCAGAGGCCCAACCTACTGTGCTACAGCGCTGGCTAAAGCTCAGCTTTGAAGAAGCTCTGTCAGCTGCCTTTTCGTAGACAGGACTCTGGGACTTCCTGCATCAGTCAAGGGCAGACAGAGGAAAAGCTGATGGAAAAGCCTTCCCTTTTTGAAGCCCACACGCCAGTGAGAGTCTGAGGTTGTATTCCACCACAGTAGGGAGAGCCGTTTTCCCACTCTGTGTTTGTAGGTGGGAAATAGGCGTTTCTACACTGAACGCTCACAGAGTTTAAAATTCCAGCTCTGGCTGCCAGAGAGCACTTTTCTAGGAAAGGCCCCCAGAGACCCCAGACCCAGGCTGGTGGGGCCCACTCCTCATCAGAATTGCTGGTCATGACTGACCCCTAGTGGTGGCCTTCTGTGTGATGGCTGGACTCTGACCCCCAAGTTAGCTCTGCAGGTTCCCCCTATCCTGGGCCCCTTGCCTTGTGGGCCTGCCAGGTCTCCCAGGGGGCAGGAGGCAGGACATTGGGCTGGGGAGCCCACAGGTGTGCTGCCCTGGGCGGGGTGGGAGTGTATTCCAGCCCACAGCAGCCTTCTCCTCCTTCCCATAACACACGATCACAAACACAGGGGCACGCACGCCGCCCCAGGCAATGCCGATTGTGGTGCCGGCTCGGCACTGAGGAAGCACGGGACCTAGGAGGGTGTGTGTCACAGAGGCTCCCTGGCCTGGCTCCGCCCCCTGCTGGCTGGGGTCCTTGAACACATTTCTGCCTTCTGTGGGCTCAGTTTCCCGTGCTGATAAATAGCGGTGTGGGCCAGATGGCCTGAGGTTTTGGGGACTTGGCCCCTGGGGGTCATTGGTTAAGTGCCTCAGAGGCAGGACAAGCCCGGAACTGAGCAACCTGAGTGTGTCAGGTGGGCTCAGGGCCGGAATATGAGCCCTGGGAGCCCCGGAGGAGCAGCCGCGAGGGGCTGCAGAGAGGCGGGAGCCAGCCTCCCCTGGTGCTGCAGGGCCAGGGGCTCAGAGCTGCAGATTCTGCCCCAGAGCCTCCCCCCATGTGCCAGATGGGCTTGGACAGGCTGCAGCCCTGTCCATCAGTGAGGGTCCATGGCATAGATGCAGTGTTAAAGCAAGGCTGCAGGGGGCACCCGGTTAGAGCCTGGGACAAGAGCCATCTTCCGGGGTATCCAAGCAGCTGGCTTCTGGGAGAGGGGCTGGGGTATGAGGGGGCGGGGCTGAGAATCTAGGCCAAGCTTCCCCAGGACTCCCCTCTGCAGAGCCCGGGGCGGTGTGGGGGAGGGGTGGCAGGTGCACTTGGAGCCTCTTGCGAGGCGCTAAATATTGCATCTGCTCCAGATGGGCAGCGACTTGGAAAGCGCATGCAGGCGGCTGGGCAGCGGCTGCTCCCTGTGGCCGAGTGTCCAGCCCAGCACCCAGCCGGAGTCGGCCTCCGGCTTGCTCCATTGGGACCTCCATGCTCTGGGTTCCTTGGCCGTGCTCAGAGGGAGGGGTTTTCAGTGGGACTCACAGTGGGGGTGGGGGAGTATGAGACCTGAGTTCCGTCCCTGGTGAGCTGGGCAGCCCCCGGCCAGCATCCCTGCCTCCCTTCTCTCTCCACTTCCCTCCGTCTCTGCCCAGTCCTGGTTCCTCCCCCACCTCCATCTCTCTTCCTGCTCCTAGACTTCCTGGGAGTCTCCCTCTTTCCCCAGCACAGCCCCACCTGCACCCAACACGTTCTCTCTGCAGACTTCAGAGCACCCAAGGAGGACCTCCCCTTCACCCCCAGACATGTGAGGGAGAGGAGCCCGGGGCAGATGCCACTCGGAGAGAGATCGGGGTATGGGGGGGCAGCCCTGAGGCTATGGGGGCTCAGGCCCCCCAGGGAGGCTGCGCTGGGGCTGGGTCTCGGACCTGGCTCTGAGCTGAGCCTTCTCCTCTAAGCTCCAGATCAGGACCGCTGGGCCCTGGCTTCTGGTGTCTCAGAGGGACCTCGTGCCCTGCAGGTCTAAATCGGAACCAGCCCCTGCACAGCCCTGTGCACTTTTTAGAAAAAGCACGGGCCGGCCGGTGCTGTGGCTCAATAGGCTAATCCTCCACCTGTGGCGCCGGCACTCCGGGTTCTAGTCCCAGTCAGGGCGCTGGATTCTGTCCTGGTTGCTCCTCTTCCAGTCCAGCTCTCTGCTGTGGCCTGGGAGTGCAGTGGAGGATGGCCCAAGTGCTTGGGCCCTGCACCCGCATGGGAGACCAGGAGAAGCACCTGGCTCCTGGCTTCGGATCAGCACGGTGCACTGGCCGCAGTGGCCATTGGAGGGTGAACCAATGGACAAGGAAGACCTTTCTCTCTGTCTCTCTCTCTCTCACTGTCCACTCTGCCTGTCAAAAAAAAAAAAAAAAAAAAAAAAAAAACCAGCACAGGCTGCCCCCAGCTCTGGCGGTGAGGAGTTGGTGCCCAGTCTGGGGTGCAGGTGCTTAGAGCAGGGGTGTGCTCATGGCCAGAGGGGACGAGAGAAGGAAGAGGTGCAGTGTCTGGGGAGAGAGCTGGGCTCTGTCGTGGTTGGGGGGGGGGTTCGGCCCAGTGGTGAAGATCCCTCTTGGTCAGTTGTTAGGCTGTCACTCGGGACACCAGCACCCCACCTTGGAGTGTCTGAATTTGAGTCCTGCCTCCACTTCCAATCCAGCTTCCTGCAAACGTGCAGCAGATGATGGGTCAGGTGCCTGGGCCTCTGCCACCCACATGGGAGACCTGGACTGAGTTCCAGCCCCCTGGCTTCAGTCTGGCCCAGCCCTGGCTGTCGCCAGGGGAGTGAACCAGTGGGTGGAAGAATCTTTCTGTCTTTCTTTCTGTCACTCTGCCTTTGAAAGAATAAAAATAGAAAAATAAACCTTGAGATGCCCACATCTCATGTTGAAGTGCCAGGGTTCCAGCTCCACTCCTGATCCAGTTTCCTGCTAATGTGCACCCTTGGGAGGCAGCTGGTGATGGCTCAAGTAGTTGGGCCCCTGCCACCCACATGAGAGACCCGGATGTAGTTCCTGGCTCTGGGCTTCAACCTGGCCCAGCGCAAGTCACTGTGGCTGTTTGGGAAGTGAACCAGTGGATGGAAGATATTCATATTCTCTCTCTCTCTCTTTCTCTCTCTCTCTCTCTGGAACTCTTTCAAATAAATAAATCTTTAAAAGAAACCCCCCTTGTATTTAACTTGAAGCCCCCAAGGGGAGGCCAGCTGTAGTCCCTGGCCATTGCCATCAGCTGTGGCAGGGTCTGACCAAGTGTGTTTCCCCAGGGGACTGCCGCATGGCCAATGCCGAGGAGAAGCTGATGGATGACCTCCTGAACAAGACCCGCTACAACAACCTGATCCGCCCGGCCACCAGCTCCTCGCAGCTCATCTCCATCCACCTGCAGCTCTCTCTGGCCCAGCTCATCAGCGTGGTAGGTGCGGCGGGCAGGAGAGGGGGGACAGCGGCCGCTGAGCCTGTGGGGCTGGGAGTCGGCTGACTGGACGCTCCGGTCACTGCCCGATTTCCAGGCAAGATCCCGATAAGGATCTGATCCTTAGCCATACATTAAGGAATCCGCCTGGCTGTGGGGAGCCCTGCCCTTGCCCCTATGTTCTGAGGCTCACTCTGTACAGCTGCCCGTGCCGTTAGCTGGCCTCTGCCTGGGGCACCAGTGAGCCGAGCCCCAGCAAATCCATGGTCCCGGGATCTAGGCGTAGCTATTCAGGGAGTGAATGCGAGGAGAGAGGCCGGCGTCTGGGGCCAGTGGGAGGCAGTAAGTCTTCTGTTAAAAAAAAATTATTTATTTATTTGAAAGAGTTACACAGACAGAGAGAGAGAGAGAGAGAGAGAGAGAGAGAGAGAGAGGTGGTGGTGGGGGTTTTCCATCCACTGGTTCACTCCCCAGTTGGCCACAATGGCTAGAGCTGCGCCAATCCAAAGCCAGGAGCCAGGAGCTTCCTCCCGGTCTCCCACGCAGGTACAGGGTCTCAAGCACTTGGGCCATCTTCTACTGCTTTCCCAGGCCACAGCAGAGAGCTGGATCGGGAGTGAGCAGCGGGACTTGAACCGGTACCCACATGGGATGCCAGCGCTGCAGGCGGCAGTTTTACCTGCTATGCCACAATGCCGGCCCCGGCATTAAGTCTTAATTCAGTTATTCCATGATGTCAGGATTCCAGGTCATTGTCAGCAGTGCCATGGCTGCACTTCTCTTCGTTTTCCTCCACAGTCACAGGGTGGCGGCCACAGCGCCAAATGTGAAATGCTCACGTGACAACGTCCATGGCTGGAAATGGCAAATCTTTTGCTTGGTCTTTCTTTCAATTTCTTTCTTCTTTCTTTCTTTCTTTCTTTCTTTCTTTCTTTCTTTCTTTCTTTCTTTCTTTCTTTCTTTCTTTCTTTCAATTTCTTTCTCTCTCTTTCTTTCTTCCTTCCTTCCTTCCTTCCTTCCTTCCTTTCTCTCTCTCTCTTTCTTTCTTTCTTTCTTTCTTTCTTTCTTTCTTTCTTTCTTTCTTTCTTTCTTTCTTTCTTTCTTTCTTTCTTTCTTTCTTTCAGATTTATTTGTCTATTTGAAAGGCAGAGTTACAGAGAAGCAGAGGAAGGGGGGGGGGGGTCTTCCATCTGCTGGGTCACTCCCTAATTGGCCACAACAGCCAGAGCTGTCCTGATCCGAAGCCAGGAGCCAGGAGATTTTTTGGGGTCTCTCACACGGGTGCAGGGGCCCAAGGACTTGGGCCATCTTCTACTGCTTTCCCAGGACATAGCAGAGAGCTGGATTGGAAGAGGAGCAGCCGGGACTTGAACCAGTGCCCTGATGAGATGCCTGCACTGTAGGTGGCAGCTTTACCTGCTACGCCACAGCGTTGGCCCTTCTTTTTTTTTTTTTAATTTTGTTTATTTATTTTTGTTTTATTCAAAAGGCAGACAGATGAAGAGAGGCAGAGACAGAGAGCTTCCATCTGCTGGTTCACTTCCCAAATGTGCAGAACAGCCAGGGCTGGGCCAGGCCAAAGCTGGGAGCCTGGAGCTGCATCCAGGCTCCCACAGGGTGGCAGGGACCCAAGCACTTGAGTCAGTACTCGCTGCCTCCCAGGATGCACGTTAGCGGGAAGCTGGGTCTGAAGTGGAGGAGCCAGGACTTGAACCAGGCCCTGTGATGGGGGAACCACGGGCTGAGGTCTCCCTCTCTCCTCCCTGGGCTCCTCGTATTCAGTTAGAGTGACATCAGGCTCCGAGGATGTGGGGCGGGGTGCCAAGGAATCCCCTCCTCCTTGTAGCTGTTGTCTCTGAGTTGGGGGTACACCAGGGAGCCCTGGTCCATTGTAAACCTTCCCTGTCCGCCCCCGTGGGTCACAGCAGCCTGGGGAGCAGTCTGGGGGCCATGTCTGGCCTGGGGGAGCAGAGAACCCCCTCCCCCCAGCCTCTCTCCCCAGCACACTTGGCCCACCGGCCCAGCCCCTGCTGGAGAGGCTCCTGGCCAAATTACTGGCTGGCCCATCCCCAAGGAGGAAGCCTGGCCCAAGGCTGGGGAGGGAGTGGGGCCCTGTCCGCTCTGTTTCTCTCGCTTGCAGCCTGCCCCTCTCCCAGTCAGGCCGGCCAGGCTGGTGTCTGGGTCTCGCTGTCCAGCCAAGGGCTGCTTGCTTAGCGAGGTGAGCCCAGCTGCCGCCCAGCTGCTGCGCCCTGGGAGGGGGAGCGGGCAGGCAGCTCTGGCTTGGGCCGCCCATGCCAGTCCTGCTCCGTGTGCCCCGGGGGCTGACAGATGCCACCAGCGGCGGGGACACAGCTGCCAGCGCCCACCCTGTGACTTCTTCCCCACGAGGGCTGTCGGGTCTCTGAGAGCTTGGATGCAGAGCAAATGTTAGTTCTTGGGTTTTGTTTTTTCTTCTTTTCTTTTTCAGGGTTTGTTTTTTGAGGAGGCCAGGTTACTGGCACAGTTTACAGATGGAAGTTTCTAGAGAACAGGCCAAGGACCAGCAGGCCTTTGGAGCAGTTTTTAGGGGAGGGAGCCAGGGCCTGTACCCAGGTCCCCCGGCACAGGTAGCAGCTGCTGGGGGAGTCGGGGGAGAGAGGGACAGAATGAGGCGCCAGAGAACGTTCTGGACGGTAGCAATGTTCTAGATCTTGACAGGAGGTGCTTTTCGATGCCTTTGTTAGAACTGACCAACCTGCGCTGCAGACCTGTGCATTTCACTCCACGTAAATCACACTCGGCTGTCAAAGAAGTGTCTTCCACACAGAGGTTTCCAGCTTTCAAAAACAGTTAGAACTGGAAAAAATGCAAAAAAAAAAAAAAAACCACCAAAATCTATTTAAAAGGTAATTGGAGGCCACAGCCAGTCCTGGCAGGAGCAGGCCCTTGACCTGGGGGTCAAGGGTGCAGGTAACCCTGGGGGTCAGGGGTGTGGGTGACCCTGGGGGTCAGGGGTGTGGGTGACCCTGGGGGTCAAGGGTGCGGGTGACCCTGGGGGTCGGGGTATGGGTGAACCTGGGTGTCAGGGGTACAGGTGACCCTGGGGGTCAAGGGTGCAGGTGACCCTGGGGGTCAGGGGTGTGGGTGACCCTGAGGGTCAGGGGTACAGGTGACCCTGGGGGTCAGGGGTGCAGGTGACCCTGGGGGTCGGGGTACAGGTGACCCTGGGGGTAAAGGGTGCAGGTGACTCTGGGGTTCAGGGATGTGGGTGACCCTGGGGGTCGGGGTACTGGTGAACCTGGGGGTCTGGGGTACAGGTGACCCTGGAGGTCAGGGGTGCAGGTGACCTGGGGGATCAGGGTACAGGTGACCCTGGAGGTCGGAGTGCAGGTGACCCTGGAGGTAGGGGTATGGGTGACCATGAGGGCCAGGTTACAAGTGACCCTGGGGTTCGGGGTACAGGTGACCCTGGGGTTCGGGGTACAGGTGACTAGGGGTTGAGGGTACAGGTGACCCTGGGGTCAGGGGTGTGGGTGACCCTGGGGGTTGGGATACAGGTGACCCTGGAGGTCAGGGTACAGGTGACCCTGGGGTTTGGGGGTGCAGTGACCCTGAGGGTTGGGGTACAGGTAACCCTGGAGGTTGGGGGTACAGGTGACCCTGGGGTTCGGGGGTGTGGTGACCTTGGGGTCTGGGGTACAGGTGACCCTGGGGGTTGGGGTACAGGTGACCCTGGGGGTCGGGATACAGGTGACCCTGGAGGTCAGGGTGCATGTGACCCTGAGGGTTGGGGTACAGGTGACCCTGGAGGTCGGGGGTACAGGTGACCCCGGGGGTCGGGATACAGGTGACCCTGGAGGTCAGGGTATAGGTGACCCTGGGGTTCGGGGGTGCAGTGACCCTGGGTGTTGAGATACAGGTGACCCTGGGGCTCGGGGGTGTGGTGACCTTGGGGTCTGGGGTACAGGTGACCCTGGAGGTCAGGGGTGTGGGTGACCCTGGGGGTTGGGATACAGGTGGCCCTGGGGGTCAGGGGTGCGGTGACCCTGGGGGTTGGGATACAGTTGGCCCTGGGGCTCAGGGGTGAGGTGACCCTGGAGGGCTGGTGGAGAGAGGACCCAGAGGCTGAGAGGCTGATCACAAGTGCCGGGGGCAGCGGGAAGCATGCCCAGGACTGGAGGGATGTGGTGGGCGCTGGGGTGCCACTTAGGAGCTGGGACCCCAAGAGGGCCACCCAGAAGGACACAAACCTGCTTTGAACAGAGCAGTGCAGACGAGGTGAAGGTGACCCCTGCCCCTGCTCTGGGCGCCTGCCGGGAGCCACCGTGTGTGCCGTGTGGCTTCAGGTACAAGCCATGAGCCTGCGGCAGGCGTGCAGTGGGATGAGACAGAGGAGGAGCGGTGGGAGGGGGAAGACCAGACGAGTTGGCACATGGCGCCCAGGAGAGCGGGCTCCGACCGAGGGTACAGGGCTCGCTGGGAGAGCCAGGGCAGGCCTGCCGGGAGGCGGCGGGAGGCTGGGAGAGTGGGTGTCGTGGAGGCCTCGGCTTTTGTCCTGTATGTGAGGGGACCTAGCAGGGGCAGGTTTGAGGGGGACGATGGCAGGAACTCCGGAAAGTTCATTCCAGCCACATGGGAGAACGTGTGCGCGCATGCGTGTGTGTGCATGTGTGTGCATGGACACAGGTTAGGAGGGTCTCACAGTGGTCAGGTGAGAAATGAGGCAACAGTGGCCTGGATTATTCCCGTAAGATTCATGGTTCATTCACAAATGTGCATCACTTGTCAGACACGACCCAGTACTCTTCCCGGGCCTTCTTCCCTCCGACATGGGCAGGAGGTGGTGACCACACATGAGAAGGGAGGACAAGGACTGTGAAAAAAAGTAGGGCAGACGTCAGAGAGGGGGACAGGAGGGAAGGCCTTCTCTGATAAGGTGGCGTTTCTCTGTTTCATTGGAGAGACGGACAGACAACCAGAGAGCTCCCATGGACTGGGTCACTCCCCAAATATGCCCACAACAGCCAGGGCCAGGCTGGGCCAAAGCCAGGAGCCGGGAATTCCATCTAGGTCTCCCGTGTGAGTGGCAGGGGCCCAGCTGCTCGGGCCATCACCACTGCCTTCCGGGGTGCACATTAGCAGGAAGCCGGCCTAGGACTCTAACCCTGGCCCTGTGATAGGGGACTCAGGTGTCCCAACTGGTGACCTAACTACGAGGCCACTTTCCCGCCCTGACACTGCCGATTCCTGAAGACGACAAAGAGCAGCATGGCTGAGGGAGTGAGCAGACGGGATGAGCTGAGACAGGAGAGGGCAGGCGAGATGGAGACAGGTCACTTGAGCCTCCTAGGATGTCGGCTTTGACCTTGGGTGAGATAGGGAAGCAGTGTGTGTGTGTGTGGGGGGGGTGTGTGTGTGAGCAGGGCTGAGATTTTCAAGGGCTCACCCCGGCTTCTCTGTAGAGAACAGAACAAGGCAGCCTGGAGCAGAGGCCCAGGGAGCAGCCACTGCAGGGGTGCAGGAGACGGGTGATGGTGGCAGGCGAGTGGGCAGAAGCAGACAAGGTGGGCTGCATGGAGGAGGCACAATCTATAGGACTCAGGTCCGAGGGCGCAGAGTCAGGCAGACGGGTGGGGGGCTGGGGGAGCCACCTGGGCGAGGCTGGGACAGCTGTGGGCCCCTGGTCTGGAGCTCAGAGCCATCCGCAGCGTGAGCTCGCAACCCCATTTCCCTCCGCAGAACGAGCGAGAACAGATCATGACCACCAACGTCTGGCTGAAGCAGGTGAGTGCCCTGCAGGGCCCCAGCCCTGGTGTCTCCCTGTGCGCTGCCCTTCGAGCGCGTGACGGGCCTCGTTGTTGTTCAGGAGTGGACTGACTACCGCCTGGCCTGGGACAGCTCCCGCTACGAGGGGGTGAACATCCTGAGGATCCCTGCCAAGCGCGTCTGGCTGCCCGACATAGTGCTCTACAACAAGTGAGTGGGGGCAGGCAGGGCTGGGCAGGGCCGGGCGGGGCTGGGCCGGGCAGGGCCAGGCAGGGCAGGACTGGGCAGGGCAGGACTGGGCAGGGCAGGGCAGGGCTGGGCAGGGCAGGGCCAGGCAGGGCAGGACTGGGCAGGGCAGGACTGGGCAGGGCAGGGCAGGGCTGGCAGGCAGGCTGGGCTGGGCCGGACGTTGATGGCGCAGGGCAGGGCAGGGGTTGGAAAATTAGGGTACAGATATGTCATGACTGACACCAGCGTGAAAGATTTACACGGATAGTTAGACCTGATACCC